AGGGGAAGGGGAAGGGGAAAGGAGAGGGGGAGGGAGAGAGGAAGGGAGAGGGGAAGAGTATGGAAAGATGTTCAAAATTAAATGTAGAACCATTCCAGGGGCAGTATGTGAAAGTCTTTTGCTCTAGATATAACTTTTGGGAGACAAGTACTAACCACCAGACTACGTTAAGAGTATGTAGCAGGAGTCTCCAATGCACTAGGAGCCTGTACGACATGGTCAGCAGGTGTTAAAGGAGGAAAAGCAGATTGAGTCAAATGTTGTCATCTACTGCATATTGTGTTATTTGGCCATCTGGAGTGTTGCGGTTAACTCAGCAACTAACTAATCTATAAATGCATGGTCTAGAGGGTGCTGTGCAAGGATTTGACTTGTACTGAACTTTGTGATGTTTTTCAGAAGCAAAAAAGGAACAGTCAAGCATTACCATGTGCACAAAACCCCTGAGAACAAGTACTACCTTGCTGAAAACTACTATTTTGAATCAATTCCCAAGCTTATACACTACCATCAGCACAACTCGGCCGGTAATCCTATGTGCTCATGCTGCTTGATTGACTTTGGCTTAGGCTTCTGGGTTTCTCAGCCTTATGGTGAACCTTTTCCAATACTGAATACTCTAAATATTGAAATATCTTTTGGGAGAGTTTGGATAGAACTTGATCTAACATATTCACAGTCAATACAGTTGATTTCCTGTGCTGCGCTTCTTTTGTATTGTACTACCTCTTCTTGCAATGCTTCTGCTGGACTAGCTCTTAAACACAGAAAACTTTCAGTCTTGTGAAGTGATGCAGCAGCTGCTGAATACCGAATATTGAATATCTATCATTACCTGGATGGTTGTATTATGGCAGGGAGAGAGAGGTATTTGCTTCCCTGTATTTTCCTTGTTTTCACAAGACTCATGAGTATATTGTGACCTTTAACAGCTTTTCTTTGTAGGTATGGTGACAAGGCTCCGGCATGCAGTGTCTACACAAGTAAATAAAGTCCCATCCACAGCTTCATTAGGAAATGGTATGAAGATAACTATCCTTTTTGAAACTGGTGTTAGTCTTGGCAACCAAGAAAAGAAATAACCAGAAAATAATGACTTACTGCTTCCAGGCTTGCAAGAGCTTACAGAATCTTTGATGGCCATTTCCATTTGTTCATGCAAGAGGCAATGTGAGAATTTGGGAAATTGTGCCTTTCAGTCAGTAGCTCCTTCTGTAGTTTCCTCTTTTCAGTGTAGTATTGAGACTACGGTTCTAAGAAAAACGGTATCCCTTCCCACAAGTATGTCTAAATCCAGGCCATTTTATATCAAATTTTATGTTGTACCCTTTTAAAGGCATTTAATGTCAACTCTTATATCAACTGTGCATGACCTTGCTTGCTTTCTTACCCAGCACATCTGAGCCATGGTCATTCTTTCCCTTTATCACATTACCTGGCACCGTAATACTTGTTCTGTAATCTCCTACATGAAAATGTATAATCATTTGATGCATAAATCTTTTTCAGATCTATTTATAAGGCCTAAACCTAAGTGATAATAAACAACACTTGTAGGAAATATAGTGTCCTTCCATAATTCAAACACAAAGCTAAGAGGCAGGTATGTTTCTTCAGTGGTTCATAGCTCTGCAACTCGACAGAGAGAACAGCATTGCGTGCGGGGAGGGTGCCACACTTGCATTAGTCTTTTTTTTTTGTTGTTAAATATTTTTTTTGTCCCACTAGGAATCTGGGAGCTGAAACGAGAAGAAATTGTCCTGTTGAGAGAGCTAGGGAGAGGTCAGTTTGGAGTGGTGCATCTGGGGAGGTGGAAAGAAAAATATGATGTGTCCATAAAGATGATTAAAGAGGGAGCGATGTCAGAAGATGAATTCATAGAAGAAGCTCAGACCATGATGTAAGCTATGGTATTGCTTCATTATTTGGAAATAATGATCTCTCCAAACATTAATCAGTAATGTGTAGCACACACAGGAAAGATAATTTCATCTTAAAAATAGCATTAAGTAGCGTTGGGTACATTAGGCACAAGCTGAAAACGTAGCCATATGGGATATTTGAAGTATTACCAAAAGAACTTCACAAAGATTGATGTGGTCATCTACAAAGTTTTAAATTAATATCTCTCCCACAATTTCAGAGGTTCCACATATGTCATTTAAAGCTCTACTTCATTAGCATTTCTACAGAAATGGTTAGAAAGCTGTTCCTTCCACCCTGCAGGTAGGAATGAGAAACAGATCAATACTGAGAAATGCAAGAAATATGAACTTGAGACTTGAAGTTTTAGTCTCGGTCTCCAAAGAGATAAGGATATTAGAATCTCCAGTACAATTCCATGAGATGATAATAGAAGTATACAAATTCAATAATGTTTTGTATACCTCTTATCCTGAAGGACTGCACTACATTCCTGGTAGTTAACTATCTGATATGATCAGGATTGTCAATGAGAAAATTTTGCAACATGGCTTTGGTGGAAAATCTTTATGTTTAAGGTCCACCCCATAAACTCAGATCTATTTTGTCCTATCTATAACATTGCGCTTTTGCACTACTAAATCCTATTTCAAGTTTTGACTATAAAGTTCTCATTTCATCAATACTGAGTCTTCTTTCTATTGTCATCAATACTGAGTTTCAAAGTAATTAGCAGAAGGACACTCAGTTCTTCTTTTAAAGGGACATTTGAACTTAAAGAAATGCACAAGAATCTCCATTTATTCTTTGATTGTTTAATTTTTATTTATTTCAGGAAACTTAATCATCCCAAACTTGTTCGACTGTATGGTGTATGCTCCAAATCGTATCCCATTTATCTAGTGACGGAATACATGCCTAATGGCTGTTTGCTTAGCTACTTAAGGAGTCACGGGAAGGACCTACAACCCCTTCAGCTTCTGGAAATATGTTACGATGTTTGTTAGAGCTGTCAGTTCATACATAGAGATTTGGTAAGCTATCCCACGGGGGGAGTGGAACGGGGAAGGTGGAGGGATGACCTAGCCTTAGGCAGTGCTATCCCTCAGGACCTTGCTCCCAAAAGCATTGTGGTCTGCTGAACAGACACACCTCACAGCTGGCTCAATACACGGCAGCCCTGGGTGAGCAGCACTAAAGGCACGTGTTACCACCACCACCACCAAGCTATCACGCTCTACTTCAGAGCTGAGCTGTGCACTATGCTGCCTGCACTTGCGGTCTCTAGTTCATAAGCAGAAATCCACTTGTAAAATTAGTCTGCTGAAGTAAACGGTTCTGTTCAATGATGCCATAGTCATCCAAGAGAAAGCAGTGAGACATTAAAGATTTGAGTCCTGTAGACTGTTTTTAGTGAGTCAGGGATTTCTCTAATTGGGAACTATTTCTCTTATGAAATAAGTGTGAACACTGCTAGGATAAACTGGAATTTACTTTGGTGCATTGCAAGCAGGAGCAGGACTTGGAAGTCTGCAGCTACCTAGCCCTTTCAATTATCTGCCAGTTTTCAAGAAAGTCTTACAAGTTGTTTTTGATGAAAGGATCAGGCCTTCCAAGGACTTTAACTGAAAGTTAATGCAAAATTTAGCATTCAAGAATGCTGCCTTTGTGGAAATAAGCTGTTATTTTATTGGCCTATTAGAAGTAAACCTAACAAAATTTCTGGTGCATCATGCTTCGGAGTCAGTAGCAATATTTTGCCTTCTAACTCTAGACAAAAATAAGTTGGAAGATTTGTGACAATTTATGTTACAGACTTGCTTGATTTTCCAATAGGGGTACAGTCTCCTCAGGTGGTATTTTTTTTGTTGTTGTTTTCAAAGAATTGGCTGAATGTTTGAACCAAATTATTAAATCCATACCTCAGCAATTTTCACACCCTGATTCAGAAATCATGGATATCAGACAACCTAAGTAGCAGGCTTCAACTTGTGAATATAAAGTCAATTTCCCAACACCTGGCTGTGCACCATGGGAAAATAGAAATTAAACTCAAGCTTGATTTCAGGTTGAAAACTGTAGATGCAAACTGTGTCACAGAAATTCATAAGCATGCAGACAGAGAATACAGCCTTCAAGTGTTTTTCTCAATTTTCTCAAGTGTTCATTTGCAGAGTTAGGCTTATACTGAACTTTTCATAAATCAAGATGTTAAAATCACCTTTCATTTCTCCACAGCATCTATAGTGCATTGTAAGTAATCCAATCAATGTTTTTCACTTTTTAATGCCTTAGTAAATTCTGACGCTACTGAAAAGGAACCTGAAGTAGGACAGGGTTTAGTTTCTGGTTCTGTTGCTCTTTTTCTAGGTAAATGTGGGTTTCTCACTTATTTTTTCTCGTCCCTCAATGTACTTATTTGTAAATAAAAATCTAGGATAATGGTAAAGAATGTTTTTTGATCAAGACACAAAGCTGAAATGAGCTACTTACTCTTCTCTTACAGTTTGGAACTGTAGGATTTAATTGCTTCAATCAAAGAATGTCATTTTTCATTGAAATGCCAGAAGACAGAAATTATTATTAGCAAATTACCAAGGCATGACATTATTTTCTGCTCTTTGTGTTTTTTCCACTCATCTCTTTTCTCATTTCTCTGCTAAAGGCTGCTAGGAACTGTCTGGTTGACAGTAATCTTACTGTGAAAGTATCTGACTTTGGGATGACCAGGTAAGTAAAAGAATTGGGAACTTTGCGAAGCTACAATGTTCATGTATATGTACAGTATACCGATGTTGATCAACTAGCACTGGCTGTTAGAAAAGTTAAGACACAGGGTGTGACACAGCTCTCTGTGTCTCCTTTCTACCAATGACCAGTGGTAGGTTGACTCTGGATGGATGTCAGGTGCCCACCAAAACTGCTTTATTACGCACCATCTCAGCTGGACAGGGAAGAGAAAATACAGTGAAAGGTTCCTGCAAGAAGATAAGGACATGGAGATCACTCGGCAATTGCCATCAGAGGCAAAAGAGACTCAACTTGGGGAAATTGGTTTAACTTATTTATTACCAGTTGAATCAGAGTAAGATAATGCAAAATGAAAACAAATCTTAAAACATTTTCCTTCCACAATTCCTTTATTCCTGGACTTAACTTTACTCCCAGTTTTCTCTACCTCCTCCTTGCCAGCAGCACAAAGGAATGAGGAACGGGAGCTGAAGTCAGTTCATCACATGTTGTCTCTGCCGCTGCTTCCTCTTCACACTCTTACCCTGTTTGAGCGTGGGGTCCTTCCCACAAGAGACAATTGTTTGTGAACTTCTCCAACACGAGTCCTTCCCACAGGCTGCAGTTCTTCATGAATTCCTCAAGCATGGGTTGCTTCCATGAGACTGTTCTTCAGGAACAGATTGCTCCAGCAAAATCCCCCTGGGATCACAAGTCCTGCCAGCAAAACTGCTCTGTCACGGGCTCCTCCCTCCACAGGTCCAGAGGTCCCTGCCAGGAGCCTGCTCCAGCATAGGCTTCCCATGGGGTCATGGTGTCCTTTGGGCATCCACCTACTCTGGTGTGGGGTCCTTCATGGGCTGCAGTGGATATCTGCACCCCCGTTAACCTCAATGGACTGCAGGGGGACAGCCTGCCTCACTATGGTCTTCACCATGGGCTGCAGGCAAATCTCTCCTCCAGTGACTGGAGCATTTCCTCCCCCAAGTCTTCACTGACCTTGGTGTCTGCAGAGTTTTTTTCTTACGTATTCTCACTCCTCCCTCCAGCTGCAAAACATGCAGGTTTTTTTCCTCTTCTTAAATATGTCATCCAGAGGTTCTACCACCATCACTGAGATGGTCTTGACTTTGACTGATGGCAGGTCAAACTTGAAGCAGGCTTGCATTGGCTCTGTCACACACAGAGGAAACTTCTAGCAGCTTCTACCAAAAGCCATCCCTGTAGCCCCACTGCTACCAAAACCTGGCCATACAAACTCAATACATAACCGCAAGCTATTTTGAGGTTTAAATAAAGTCATTCTGCTGTCTCAGAAAGTTAGCTTAAAGGCCAAACACAGCTGAGAGATTCACTAGTCATGTTTGCTAAAGAAATCTCAGAATTAACTTTGTGTAGAAGTTTTTCACCTAATTTGAGGCCATATTTATTAATCGGCAGCCTCAATGGAGAGAAGCTGGAGTATGAGCAGTCTGTAGAACATATCCTCTGAGAAGAAGGTGAGAGGACCAGGCTGCTTAGTCTGGTGAAGAGGAAGCTAAGAGGGATCTAAAAGCTTCCTATAGCTACTTACAATTACAAAGCTGATGAAGCCAAATAACTCTATCAGTGCCAGTTGGTACAACAGTGGACACATACTGTAGCTTGGGAAGTTCAAGCTGGAGAGTAAGAGAAGGTGTTTCCCCAGGAGAATGGTAGAACAGTGAAACATGCCAGTCCAGAAGACTACAAGATTGTAGTCTTTGGAGACTTTTAAGAGTTGGCTGATCTGATGTTGGGAGTAATCCTACTGAGCAGGAGGCTGGGCTAGATGACCTTACAACAGTTATTTCTACAATTCTGTGTTATTTCTCTAATAAGTTGATAGCAATGATCTGTAGCTTATAGCTAATGTCTCTATCAGGTATCCTTCAGAAAACTGGGACTCTGTTCAGGCTTTTCTTAGGAACATTGTCATGTACAAGGAAGAAGCAGTAAACTATTTCACAGTAATGCAGTAACAATCAAGTTTGGTTCTTGCCTCATAGGTATGTTCTGGATGATCTGTATATAAGTTCACTAGGAACCAAGTTTCCAGTGAAGTGGTCAGCACCAGAAGTTTTTCATTACACCAAATTTAGCAGCAAGTCAGATGTATGGGCCTTTGGTATGTATGGAATTTGACATATAAATATGTATGCATATAGGCCATTATGTTTGTATTTCCTCACATTACTAAGCTAAACTTTTGCACATTGACAGAATATAAAAAGCAGTTACAGCTTATGTTCTTGTTTAATAGTTTTATGCATCCAAGCCCTACTGTCTTCAGAATTTTTTAGCCCTATTTCTTTCTTTCAGTCACACAGAAACTCTGCTCGCTCCCCATTTGCTATATATGTGTTTAATATGGTAAATTGTTGGCAGTGTAAACCAAACAGTATCTTTGATGTGTCTAGACCATAAATCAGTACTGCCCAAGCCAAAAGAGCTTTTCTGTTGGTCGCAGAGGTCAGAGTGGGCTCTGTGTGTGCATAAGCCAGCTGTGGAAGGGAGTTGTGTGATCTGGGACTCTGCATCTCAGCAAAAATAAGATGTGTTTGCAGATCACTTTCTGCCCAGGAATTTCAAACATTGGAACTTCTACTTCAGTGCTTTTCAAGCTATGATTTACATATCCCTGGGGTCTGTTCAGCATTTCTAAAAGTCTGCAAAAGGTACCAAAGGAAAGGGAACTTTTTGTGAGTGCGGACATTAATTCCACTTATATGGATTTGCTTCTCTTGTAGGAAAATTTTGCCAGCTGTCAAGTTGAGAAAAGATTGGCAATCCACTGTTCTTGACATTGAACAGTGGTGAATAAAGCAGATGAAAGTGTTTCCAAATACTGTGCTGCTTCTTATCTCTAGCTTCAGCTAGAGAAACAGCTCATTCATACCCTTTACAAGCTGTTTATAATATATACGATTAAATCAGAACTTGGATATTTTGGTGATATGCTTTCTTTTTGCTCTTATCAACAAAATCCTGACTTCAGGCTTTATTGTTGTTAAATTCAATATTGGTATTAACTTCAATGAGAAACACTATTTTTCCTTAGAATATGTTTTCTCATGTTAACACTATCCATTGATGCAGTGGAAGCAAGGAAAGAGTCTTTATTGAGTTTAATGAGTCTTTAAAGGGCTAAAGAACTGAACTAATATATTCATATCCCAAAAGCAGATGTCAGACAACAAATAATCTTGTTTTCTTAATGTTCTCATCAGGGAAAGCTCAGATTCAGGTACTATTTTATTCTGATCCCACTGTGACACTACTACACTCCAGTCTTGTGGGAAAATCCAATAAATTTCTTTTAAAAAGACAGACATTACTGCCAGTATTATATATCATTGTGAAATAAATATTTCACAATTTTTTTTACCTTATGATTGGCATAATTACCACATATGTTTAGGTACAACAAAAATTGTTTCTTGCAGAGTTGTCGGTATGAATTTATTATTATTATTTTATTCAGTGTTTCTGTTGCTTCAGTATAATATAGCTGACTCTATAATTGTTTTGAAATATTTCTGATACCAAAGGAGTGTATGTCCCACTTACTTAAAATAATCAGTAAAAATTTTCTTATTATTCTATTAAAATGTAGATACCCAGAGCTACCATTTTGCTTTCCTTCTCTCTCTCTCTGTATAAGCACTCACATACATATATATAAGGAGATGGTTGCATGTGTTTTGATAGAAAAAAAAAATCCATGGACAGCTATATCTTGAGTTTTCTCCATCATTGTCCACATTAAATATACTCTATAACTAACTTCATAACCTAATTTTATGAGTATAATTTTGCAGTGTAGTTTATTTTACATTTGGATAGAGAATCACACTTCTCAGTCATACCCAGACTTTTCTTTGGACAATATTCTCTGTAAAGAGTCTGGTGGGTTAGCTGTTGCATGTGTGTCTTGTTCTGGCAAAAAAAAAAAAAAGGGTTATCTTGCATTCTTTGACTTTTATTTCTTGTCTTCTGATACTGTGAATACTTTTGCAGGTATCTTAATGTGGGAGGTGTACACTTTAGGAAAGCAGCCCTATGAGCTTTATGATAACATGCAGGTGATTGAGAAAGTTTCTCAAGGATACAGACTTTACAGACCGCAACTGGTTTCAGATATCATCTACCAGATAATGTACAACTGCTGGCATGAGGTATGCATGTACAAATTGGAGAAAACAATAGGAGTTGCTATGAGTCCCTGTTTATAGCTGAAATAATGTTCGTAGTGGAAAATATGCCTTATAAAAGCCTTTCCTTATATGTAGCTCATTGTGTATAGCAGTCTAGTCCAGGACATTGTTAGTACAGGAAACATGGCATAATGGAAGATTGACTCAGTTCTTATGTATTTGAGCAAATAACAGTCAAATACCATTCAACATCAACATAATGTACAGGATGAGATTCTTCTCACCTAATTTTAATGGTTTAAAATTCAGGTGCTGAGCTAAGATAACTGCTTAAATTTCTTACGTGATTACAGGACCATTACTGGTATCTCTCCATGCTTATTTATCCCTTCTATATTAGCCACCACAGAATAAGATATCTGCTGTCCTATACAGAGATCTCAAATAAAAAGTGTAGATGAGAGCTCTATCTTTTTAGATAGCTAAAGTTGTGTGGAATAATCCTACCCTTAGAATAAGAAGGATGTGTTACCCCATCTGTGAATCTTGCAGGAGTTTTAAGTCAAATGCTCATCTTATTTGAGAGATCTGCACCTTCTGTGCCACAAATTATTCTGATTTATTACCCACCTTCATCCAAATTTTCATCAGCTGTCTGTGGACCATGACTTGTTTCTCACTAGCAACAAAGAACTGTTTGGCACATTATTGGTGGTACCATAAAACAACAGTGATATTTTGGATGATTTTTGCTATAATTATCAGAAAAAAAATCAGAAAAATGGCTTGAATTTGTTAATGCAAAGAAAGAAAGAAGATTATCATAATATAAGATAGGAACTGTTTGGCACATTATTGGTGGTACCATGAAACGACAGTGATATTTTGGATGATTTTTGCTATAATTATCAGAAAAAAATCAGAAAAATGGCTTGAATTTGTTAATGCAAAGAAAGAATATTATCATAACATAAGATAGATATAAAAAGTAGCTTTAATTCTCTTTTTCATAATCATCACTGTCTCTACATATTTCGGCATGTTAACGTCAAGAAAAATAAATGCAAATTGCAGTCCTGAATGTTTTCAAAATTAAATATACCTATCATCTTTGCTTCATTTAGCTACCTGAAAAGCGCCCTGCCTTTTATCAGCTTTTGTCATTTTTTGAGGCACTGAGAGAAGATAACAGAGCTTGAAAAAGAAGATTCAGAAGCAGATGATGGTGCATACTGGTTTCATATAACCTATCCTCTGAAAATCTGCCTGACATTAGCCACCCTTATTATTCTATATATTAGCACCCTTCTCATTTAAGGAGGGAGTTGACCGAGAAGCATATGGAGAAGGCTTTTGTGACACTCTGTACGTGACAGAATTTGGAAGGATGCTATGGAAGAATGGTTCATTTTGTTAGTACTGTCTCAAAAGACTTCTCAGACACTGAGGTACATATACCAATTGTGTACACTCCATCAGTGCTTCCAAGCTGTCATTATTTGGCCTTAACTGGAAAAGTAAACAGGGAAATACATGTCTATTAGTTTTTCTGATTATCATAAGTCATCTGAATGTTTTATCTTTGCAATCATTTGAAGCTGACACTGCAAGTCAAATTTAGAACTGCAAGTGACAGCTACGTAAATAGCCAAGATCGTGCTTTCAATTGCTTAGAAATTACTACTGGGAAAATACCGTATCAGTTTACTTACCAATGCTATTGACTTTTGTCTCAAGTCTCAGGGTGTACATTTGATTTGGAATTTAATCTAAGCCACATATCTAAGATATCTGCAACTTTCAACATATAAGGTGTCTGCTAGACTGTTATTTCTTCCTGCTACAGGTAAAAATAGGAAAAAAAAGACTTTATGCAGAATTCCATAATCATTGCAGTAGTAAATAGTAAATTTGCTGACGCCTGTAAAATTTGAAGAGCAAAAAGTTAGAGAGCTGAAAATGCTATTGATATAATTGCTTAGCCATGTATTTTACTACAGAGGAGCTGAAATTTGGCTCCTGATGTTACACTTAAATAAGAGTTACCCAACTTTCAAATGTGCATAGTGCTACACAAATTGATAACTTCAGTAAGTCTAGAGATACCAAATCCATCTGAAGCTACTTAACTATGAGGCATCTAAACTTAGACACTGACATTTGTAAAACATTGATCTAATATGTATAAATTGAAATAAATTAAGGTCTGAAAAATTCTCTCCTCTCTCCTTATATTTTAGCTAGTTCTGTGCGTGATGTCTCTAAGAGTCTAAGCGGTGTCTGGTTGCCCTTTCCCTGCTGGGAGCTGACTTGGCCCTAGCAGGGACCCTTCTACACCTCCAGTCTGCTCTCACCTCACCCTAAGGAGTAAGAAATTCAGCGTGAAGACATTTGGGAAGATGGGAGAAAGAAAGGAAGATCCATGGCCCATCAGAGGCTCCAGCACTTGGAGTTGCTGGTGTCGCCCAGACCCGGTAGTGCCAGCAGGCTAGCGGAGGGCATCCTTGCCTATGTGGGGCCCCGTGCCTGTCTTTGAGGGAAAGCAGCATTTGGGATCATGCAACTGGCTATGGGGACCCAAGCAGACAGGCTTAGGGGGGCCACAGGAGGCTGCACGTGAGGGAGAGGTGCAACACAGTGTGAGGGTCCCTCCCCAGAGACATTCAAGGGCAGGCTGGATGGGGCTCTGAGCAACCTGATCCAGTTAAAGACGTCCCTGCTCACCGCAGGGGGGTTGGACTAGATGACCTTTAAATGTTCCTTCCAGCCCAACACATTCCATGACTCCATGATTCTCTAATTCCATGATTCTACGTTGCCTGTGCATCAGGCCAGGCCACGGAGCACTGTCCCAGGGATTTAGTCAGGAGGGACCACTGACACAGATAGAATATGAGAGGAGGGTGCACGCCACCCCAGAACAAAGGGTGTGAGGCATTTTTGGGGCTAATGCATGCAGTTGATGTTTTTTAATATAAACGTTTTCTTTTTATTTCTGTTCTTCCAACATACTGCTGTATTTTTCAGTGGCTTTATGTGTTGACAATTCTGAGCGGTGTTTCTTGATTCATAGCACAGCTTTTAAAATTAATTGCTTTGAAATGAAAGCCTTGCCTTAATGGAAATGTTAATCTTAACTACAGATCTGAAGATGGCTGGCATGACTAATTACATTATTTGATTGTTTCCAGCTTTGCCTTTCCCTTTTTCCGTTACTGCACAGTAAGTGGGAAGACCACATACAGTTGAATTATTTATCTTGAAAGTTCAGCTAAAGTACAAAGATTTGGGGATGTTATGGCAATAGCACATGTAGTACAGATAAGCAACTTAGAGAAAAATTATTTTCATTCTTTTACATTACTGTCTAGTTTGCAATTAAAGGGCATCATCTGCCTAAAGTTTTCAATCTCATTTAAGGGTCTTGTCTCTTAATTAGGAAATGAGTGTGGAGCATTAGGATAGTGTTTTGTGAGCCCACAGAGTCAAGCTGTATGTATTTTCAGGTATATATTTGACTGATTTCTACAGTTTCTGATAATTTTGGGGGCCCACAAGTTTAAAAGTCTGTGATTTGCTGAACAATTTTCAGGCAGACTCGGGTTTCCTATTGGCTCTTTGTCAAAAAGCAGGACACATTCTGCTTTTCAGTGACCCTGATGTGTACAGAACAACTGCACTAGAACAGTGACAGGTATGGCACAGGGCCTACAAGACACAGCATCACAGAAACACCATCTGGAAGGGACCTCTGGAGATCATCTAGCCAAACTACTCAGAGTGAGGCTGTCTCCACCACTCAATCAGCCATACCTTCATCTACCTGAGCTCTCAACATTTCTAGAGGTGGAGATCCCACAGCCTCTCCCACAGCACAGAGCAGGCAACCTGCTCCTTTGCTGCACTACTCTCCTTGTGAACAGCTTTTCTTTTGCAGGTGCAACCCGACCTTCCCAAGCCTCAGTCTATTGTCCCCTGAATGTAACAGTGCAATTTGTACTTGTAGTATGCAGCATTTGTAAGGCAGTATTTGTAATAGTGAAGGCAATAGCTGAGGTACTGGAAAAAAAAAGAACTTTGATCATTCAGTGTTGAGAAGGTTTATTCCATTTTTAGATGACAACATAACACACAGAGTCGTTGGGGTTTTTTTGAGGGACCATAGGCTGTTTGGTCTCTACAATACTTATCAAGCAAACAGTTAGAAAAATAACTTAAGTTACAACTTCCTAACAAAGTTCCAGTGCTTGTTAGTCTTCATCCAGTATCCATTTTACATTGATACAGATTTCCTGAAGGTGCAAAAACTGCAGTTATTTCATATGAAATTGAGTTCTTCATTGCTAGGGTTCTTCTGCTGGTCAGGTTTTTTTCTCACTGTCTATTAGATACAATCCTGAGGTCTTCTTCTGGGAAGATCAAGGTGTTCCTCAATGGCATTAGGAGTCTGTGAGTTATTCTTATGTCTCGATCCATGTATAACTGTATACTTCCAAGCTTTTGTATCTCATTACAGAGGAAAAAAAGGGGTTGGATGCAGCACACTTATGAAAAGCAGCACAGTGTATAATATTATGTGCATAATTCATAGAAAAGCCAGAGAACATATATCTCTTCACTTTTTGTGTGGTTTTAAGCTAGTCCATAAACAGCAGATTTTGTTGCTCTTGTCTAGGAACCAGTAGATTAATGGTCAACCAGAAGACACTATGTTTGATGACATCCGTAGTGTTTTGGTCCTTGCTAGGCACTATTGTTAAAAGTGAACTGGAAAAAACTCAGAAGCCCTTAATGTACCCACATCTTCTATAATGATGTTTGTGTCTCTTCAGATGGCTCAAAACCCTTGTTGCTTCTTCCCTCTTCAACATACGGGTTTATTCTTGCTTCATTCCTCTCTTGCTCTCCTGTAATAAAAATTCATTTTGTATTAGGAGCCACTGTTCTGTTTAAGTTCTTGTGGTCCTAGAATCCCCTGCTGTAAACATTACTGTATTTATAGAAAAGAAATTGTGTCAGTTTTAAGGGGAACTGCATCAAACCCCAGTAACGAAAAGACATAGAAGACCAACCCAGCTACATTGCTGTTAATGCAATAACATTTAAGGAAAATTATATTACTGGACAGCCTACAAAAAAATTGTTGAAAACTGTAGGTGCTGGTGAACGTGGACAACTCTGCTGCTGGAGAAGGCTCTGTGTTCCCAGCAGGCCCCTCCATCCCCCTTGCAGTGGGGTTGGCAGAAGCCTGGCCACAGCATCCAGCTGCCTTGGTTAAACTGATGATGATGGGGAAATTGCACTGAGCTGCCAAAGCTGCCATGCACTGAGAGGCAGGGAGTGAACCTTCAGCTATCACTGTTGACTGGATGGGGTTAATAAGCTTTAATTCCTTAATTCGTTTTAGTTAGATTTGGCAGCCTATATGGAAGCACTGATGGCTCAATCATCGAGACATCTCCCAGCAATCAGGATCGTAATGGCAAAATATTACTCACTTTCTGCGATCTCTCTGCCCAGTGATGATCAAGACAATAACTCCAATGACAACAAGGCCGATGACCACCCCAAATATAATTAACCAGATGGTGACTGGTGGTTCATAAGGCGTGGCAAGGGTTGGAAGTATGCCCACAAACTCCAGCGTGTTATCATCCAGTTTGAAAGCCTCATTGATTCGTCCCCGAGACATCCTACCATTAAGAGCAAATTCAAAGAGTTTCATATGCTTGTTGGAAAGAAATAAACAGCTCTCAGTTATTTCATAAATCTCCAGTGTGCCAAGCTTTCCCTGAACAGCTCAGCTGAAAAGGCTGCCCAGGAGGTAGTGCTAAACCCATACTCCTTCTGCCACAGACTGGTGAGTGACAACCACAGTAGCCCAAGCCCTTAACTGGTTGCAGCTTAACTTATGTTTTCAGACACTGTATGAACTCTTAAACTCAGTCTTAGCATTTAGCAAAATGAGGCAAACAGCTTTCATGTCCCTTTCTATTTGCATTTTGCTCCTCATTCTTTTTACCGTAAGTTCCTTGATTTTCCATAGGTTTCTTGGATATATGACAGAAAACCACAGTTTTGATATCTCCCCACCTGAATCCCTCCTATATTCTCCTCCTGTTTTGATTCTTGTGTTTTTCACTGCCCTGAAAACCCTTTCCCTGGTGTATTTTCTGTGCCATATTTTTCACTGAACTTC